ACCCTCTCACACACTTTCCTGGGCCTAGCATCAGTTTCTAAATAACTCATTCCTCACATCCAAGTCTGTTTGGTGTCCCCAGAACACGGGGCTCACCGAAAGAGGCAGCTGGCCCCATGAGGTGCCGCGGGGCCGCAGGGCCTGCCCCCCAGGGGCTTCTCACTGTCACCAGAGCACCCACCTCACAAGTCAGTCTACACCCCATGGCCCCGTGCTGCTCCCACGGGGAGGGAGGAGTGACCCCAACTCCTGGTGACTGTTTTATCTCGCCTGCCGTGAGGACCCTCTAATGTGGTTGCAGCTGGTGTGAGGCCAAGGAGGAAGGAAAAGATGGAGGAAGGGAGTGGAGAAAGAGGAAAGGAAACATGAAGAGGAAAAGGGAGAGAAGGAAAGAAAAAGAATGGTGGGAAATGGTCGAGAAAAAATACAGAAGGTTGTAGGTTAGATGGTGGCAGTTTGAACAGAAGAGAAACGGAGTGAGGGGAGGGGCAGCTGAGTAGGGGGTGGGGAAGGAGGGAGATGAGTTGTTCTAGAAGATTCTCAGCAGTACTCAGCGGTGACAGGGAGACAAATTTCATCAGAGGCCACTGCCCCTTAGCTCTGCTCTCTGGGCGGGGACTTCGCGTCCTCAGGGACCCCTGTGGCCTATAGGATTGTGAGCAGTTGTTCCATAGAAGAACCGTCTAGAAGCTTCTTTCCAACCTCAGGGAGGCTGGAGGAAAGAAGGACGCTGAGCTCCTGGGGAAAATGTGCGTCACACCTGGAGGGGGTTCTGGTAAATCCCGTCTCCTTTCCTGACCTGGTACGGGAAGTGACTTTCTGCTCAGGGCAGTGGGAGCATTTTGGGCCCTGACCCAAAGTGAGCTCTCCAGCTTCTGCTGCCTCCAAAGAGGACCTATGCCTTGGCTCTGGGAGAGTCTGAGGTGACGAGCAGCTGCAGGGATGCTGAAGAGAGGCCAGGCCAAGGCAAGCTTCAGACACTTTACACAGATGAGGACCACATGTGAAACAAACGTGTCTCCTTTGCTCTATCCTATGCCCTCCATCCCTTGCTCCCTTCCCACCAAGAATAAAGTGAAAGGTAAAAGCTGCTCTTGATAGCCAGGCATGGTGGCACGGGCCTGTCATCTCAGCCCCCTGGGAGGCTGAGGCAGGAGAATTGTAAGTCAGAGCCCAGTCTGGGCAACTTAGTGACTTGCTGAGACCCTGTGTCAAAATAAAAAGATAAAGGGCTGGGGCTGTAGCTCAGTGCAAAGGACCTGGGTTTGATCCCCTGCACACGGACAAAAAACATGCCCATGATCTCCACCTCTGTGAGGTTCCTGTGCTTCCTGAGGCCGGGATCATATACCGGATGTGAAGTCAGGACAGCGGCATCGTGCGTGAGCTTTAACACACACATTTAGAGGAAAGGGGAGTTGGAAGCTATCTGTCCCATAGACTTGTGGGCTGCTTCTCCTGGACGCAGAAGAAAGCCCCAAGGACAGGAGCCAGCCCCCAGTGCTCAGCTGAGACTCGTGCCTTGGGCCTCCTGGTCCCTGTCGCTGGCTGTCACGCTGCTCTGGACAGGGGAGCCAGCGCCCTGGGGCTGTTTGGTCACGAGGCGGGCAGTTGGGAGCCATTGTTATTAAGCTCAGGAAGCGGGTGGCAGCTGCTACTGTTCTGTGTGAAGTCAAGATTCCGCCTGAGCCGCCGGGCAGAGGATGTGGCGGGACAACAGCTTCCTGAAGTCACACAGGAGGGGGCTGAGAAGGCCCTGGTGACAGAGAGCAGTGAGGCCGGAGCCAGAGGAGTGCAGGGCATGGGGTTCCTTTATGGCATGACCACCTCATTCTAGGAGCTTGGTTTTGTATTTTGCTTTTGTCTTATTTTTTGCTTGCTCATTTGTTTTTGTTTGTTTGAAATGGGGTCTCACTGTGTATTCCAGGCTGACCCTGAACTCACTATGTAGCCCGGGCTGGCCTTGAACTCACAGAGATCCTCCCACCTCAGCCTCCCTGTTTGGGTTTTGAATATGCTCTTATTCTAGCTTGTCTGGTTTCTTTCTAAGAACCAACACATTTTTCTAGCCTTCTGGGGCACATGTACCTTTGTAACTGGGCCATCCTCACCTCTCTCATACATGGCTGTGAGTCTCCAAGTCCTCTCCTAGGGAACTTGGAGAGTTCTGAGTGAGATCATATCTATATTATTTGTCATCTGTACCTCAAATGACTGTCTTCATTTTCTTCCCATCCCCCTGGCCACTTTGTTCCTGCTTCTCTTTGTTCCAGAGATTCTTGGTCCACTTTGCCTAGACAGTTTTCTTCTAGTAAGAGCCTATTTATCTTAGGATGAAACAGCCCTGTTTCTACCTTTAGAAACTGTCACAGGATGTGATAGCTGGAGCTGCTGCTGCCATCTTGTAACCATGAGGAGAAGTAGCAGGAGAGTGAGGCTAACAGGCAGATGGCAGAGGAGAAAGGTGAAATGAATCTGAGTACTTGATGCCACTGAATTAAGGAAACAACCAGCCCAGAGGCCACTCTAACTCTAGACTTCTTGAGCTATGAGATAATTTGATACCTTCTTCTTCCAGTAATCCAGTAGGGTTTTCTGTTACCTGCAGTTACAAGTATCCTAACACAGAGTGGTTTAGGATCTCCCAGGGGAATTTCAGAGCAGCAAATGTAAATTTTACACTGAATATTAAAGCCAGGCACAGTAGCACATACTTTCAATCCTAGCCGCTCAGGGGGCTGAGGTAGGAGGATCACGAGATCAAAGCCAGCTCAGGCAATTTAGCAAAAACCTGTCTCAACACACACACACAAAATCGTAAAGGTCTGGAGTATAGCACGGTGGTGGAGAACTGGTACAACATGGCTGAGGCCCTGGGTTCAATCTCTAGGACCGGGGAAAAACCCTGAGCACCAGGCTTCAGGCCAAGAAAGGCCCACGCCCCCTGGTCTGATCCAGGCAGC